TGAGTCTAAAAACATCTTAAATGCAAGTAAATTGTCTACTTTCATATTTTTTAAATAACTTTTGTGACAATAAAATGTCAAAATATGGGGGAAATAATGTTCCAAAGTCTAAAATTGTCATTCAGAGAAAAAGATGTTTTCACATGTATCTGTATTATTTGTAAGAGACAATCACAAGCTGATCTTTGCTTATACATCTTAATGTATTTACTCATGTTGTCATTTAATCACCTTCAAATATATATAACTTTCTTTCTTTTGAGAAGATATTTTGAAAACGTTTTTGTCTGTTATTGTAAAAAAAATACCATTAAATTAGTAAAACACCATTTTAGAAGGAAATTAAATGCTATCCTTCTGCAAGAAGATACAGTTTTAGTCAATGTCAACCAAGTAACATTAAGGACCTATGACAGGGACTTTATAATATATATCGGATTGGATCTTTTGTAAAAAAAAAAAAAAGTAAATAGAGATTTTAAACACTGTAAAAAGCTACATTTCAACACAATTTAAACCATAGAAATTAGCTTTGTGGGTATAAACTAATGTATTCAGGTTGATTCTGTGATGAGAAATAATATCTTTGACTTAAATTGTTAAAATGTATTTTAAAACCAGTGAATTTAAATGCTGCCATACCATTTTTTTTATGTAATATATATATATATATATATGGGTCAAAGACGAGACATCACCATTTTGGTGTCCGCATCAAATTACATTTACAAAAGTCATTTTAAATGCACTAAAAACATCTTAAATGCAAGTAAATTGTCTACTTTCATATTTTTTAAATAACTTTTGTGACAATAAAATGTCAAAATATGGGGGAAATAATGTTCCAAAGTCTAAAATTGTCATTCAGCGTAACGGTCCGGACTTTGATTTTACCAATACATATTTAAATAAACATATAAAATACCAAGTTAAAAAATATATTTGTTGTCTTGGCATTTTCAAGTAAGTATTGGCTGTGTTATATCAAAAGGACTATGTCTTATTGTTTTTTTTTTTAAGTATTTAAATGGACAGGGAATGCAGTTTATCTGAGATCATTCAGTGTAACAGAAGTTATTCTGAAATCATATAAAAAACTGATAGTCATTAGACAGTCTGTGACATCATTAAATGGCACCTGAAAGACCGTGTGGTGCTGCAGAAAAGTGAGATTATTGCTCTTAAATACTTGATAATTTCACCTTTTCATGGTGTGGTAACATAGGTTACAAAAACACACGTCATTCAGTGAAATGTCAAAATGCTGAATGATACTGAATGACAGTATCACTGTATAAATAACTATTTTAGCATCTTATTTATATTACAGATAAATGAGGAATGTTTAGCATCGACAGATATGTGTTAAACTTAGTAAATATTAATATTTGAATGAATTTTGGTATTGTTAAATCTGATTATTGATTAATTATAGACACCCATGAACAGAGGGAGTCACTAGGCACTGTAAAAATCCAAAAAGCTAATAAACTAAGTGTGGACCCAGTAGCTTGGGTGGCGCTCTTAAAGCCTGTTCACACCAATAACAATAACTATAAAATAACTATAACAGTAACTATGTTAGCCTCCACACCGATGAACAATAGCACTGTTCATTCTAAGCATGTGCTGCAGATTTGTTGTCTGCCACTTTAAATGCTCGAGCTCTTTAAAGTTGAATGAATTCTAATTGGCTGTCAATGCTTTTATCATTCATCAGCTGGAAAAAAAACTAAACAAATCCATCAGTATCCAACAATATGAAAGAGATTCCAACAATATTGTTTCTCTGTGCAGTTATCGTTAGTTGTGCTGTGGAATCTGCTATTCTTTTATACAGAAGTTTTTTTTTCTTCCACTTATAATAGCTTGCCAATAATTCTGTGCAGGGAGACCCCCTCACTACAGTATGTCAGTAGTTCAAGAGAGATCACTGAGGGGATTCTCCACCCAAATACTCATCCTGATCATGTCATTTGTTTGCAAACAGAAAGTATTAATAAATGTGGCTGCAAGCAGGAATTTTTGAGGCTGAGCAAGTCAGAAACCAAGTGACAAGCTAAGCAAGCATGGTAGGGGAGCATCAGGAAAATGCTTATTATATTTCAACATCTGTCTCTGCAGTCATTTACTCAAGATTATTATTAAAACTAATTTAATGACACAGATTGATACTACAAATATTTCAGTTATGGGAACAATGGCAATGTTATCTCTCTTTTTGGCAAATCGTCATTCAGAGTAACAAAACATGGTCATTCAGTGTAACACATATATTTATGTAAAAACGAAACAATATACTTATTCTGACCTGTACTTATTAAAATACAAATAAGAATATATGATCGTACTAAATTTTAATATATTTTAAATGATTTTCACTTCCTTACAAAAACTTATTGTTGGCAAATTGGAAAACATAGTGGTTTGAAGGACATTAGCAAAGTATAAAGATTAAACAATTAAAGTTAATTGATGTTTGAGGGCTGCACTGTGATGCTTAAATAGAGTATTTTAATATGTCATCAAATGATTCATGTTTTAAATATGCCTAACAAGATTTTTTTGGTATATAAATATTGTTACACTGAATTACATTTTAGTGCGTGTCTTCTGTCAAACATGGTAAAAAATGCATGATAATATTTTTTTTTTTGTTCAGAAAAATATAAACTTAAACAGGACACATTCTAACGTACGGGGAAAAAACAAAACTTAAAGCTGTATTGCACTTTTATTTTTTTAATGCTTGAAACACCCTTTTCGTCTTTGACCCATATACAGAGTTCTGGCATGAAACTCTTGATGGCGCAGTCCGATAGGTCTAGCTCAATCTGATCTGGCGACATCATTGTCATATGGCAGCTGATTGGTTCTCTCCTGTCTCGGTAGCCAATGAACTTACTGCTCAATATTCAAATACCAAATATTGGCTTTTGTTCGCTGTAGCAGTTTGCAGTGCATTTCAGAAACCCTCCACCTTCCCCAGCTCCACCTGTATAGATCTGCTACGAGGTGATTCGTGTATGCTATATGGGGTTATTTCATGTATGCTATATGGGGGTTATTTCATGTATGTTATATTTGCAGCAGCAATATTTCTTACATGCTCACAGCAGCATGTTGTGGATGTATTGGCAGTAGCAAGTATCGTACTTGCTCTGCCGCAGCAGCAGTAGTAGCATAGCAGATCTATTCCGCCAAGACCAAATTAATTAACATTGTCATGTACATTACCATGCCAATCCATCCGAGAGTTATATATATATAATTTCGCTGTGGCCTTGACATTTTTTTCATCTTTGACATTTATTACCTCGTTGTTAAATTAGAGGTTGAGCCAACAATTGACTGTCAAGTTTTACAGGCTCTTAAATTTATTTTCTACAGTAAAATATGCTTTTAAATCATACAGCTTGTCAGTGATGTTTACAAAGGGTTTAGTGACCGAGAATAATTTTATTGCTGACAAAATCATTTTTGGAAACAGTAATGAGGGACTCAAGCCAACTCAGGGGGGTAGTCTGCAAATGTGTGTTTGCAGTAGGCCTAAAGCTGTTCCTCATTTCACTTTCTCTGTTCCTCTAAGGTGTAAATTCCTGCTACTCTATGTTTTGGATAGGTACTTCCCCGTTTCTAACCAATGCAGTAACAAGCTTTATGTCACAAAAGAGCTATTCCACCACAGGCCATCCGACTGCCTCATGTGCGCAGTATGTAGTTTTTCATGTTTTATCAGGTGACTTATATCATAAAATATGTAGTACTTGTTGCCAAAGAACACTATCTTCCAGTCAAAAGGATGTTATCATGAAATGCACGCATTAGACCATTAGACCATTTTAATAAAATGATTGGATTTATAATAATAACATGGAATAAAAGATTTTAATTAAACAAATTTTTTTTGTTTGTTTGTTTTTTTCACTCTCATGTTGTTGAAAAGCATCATAAAAAAGTGGTTATTATATACTCTATAAGTCTTTTCATTTTGAGGTGTACAGTACTTGGTAACACTGTATTTTACGGTGTCCTTTACACATACTTGCTATAGTAATAAAAATAACTCATGCACAATTACATGCAACTAACACTAAACCAAACCAAACCTTCATCCTAACCATACAGTTAATACATGTAGTTAATTAATATTACTCAGTACTTAATATTATTGTGGAAATGTATACATTTTTCAGTATTCTTAGAAAGTGGAGAAGAACAGCGTTTATTTAAAATGGAATTCTATGGTAACATTATAAATGCCTTTGCTGTCAATTTTAATCAATGTAATGTGTCCATGCAAAATAGAAGTAATAATTTATTTTTTTTAAATAATAATAAATAAATAAATCTTAATGACCCCAAACTTTTTAATGGTAGTGTGTGTTGCCTTGTTGATATAAGAGTAATAAACAATTAGAAGCTGTTGTTTGATTTAATTTCGAGTTACTGTTCCGTCATTCAACTTTACTGACCACAGAACAGGAAGATTATGGTTTTCATGCATCAACAAAGCTGTTGTGTGCTAGTAAAAATGATTTCATTTTATTAACATTAAATAATCATGTAAGTATCTCATCCAGTAGTTTTCAAGTAATTCATTCAGAATCATGTCAACAGCAGGATTTAGCAGGATTTCAGAGAGGGGAAAAAAGGAGTTCATCTGGATCTGTGTAATAAAACTAATCGCCTCAATTATCACTGTGTCAGTTACAAGTAAAATCCCGGTTTTTAGGACACAAAGTAACATCGCAGCCCACATGCCCAGAAGGCTTTGACACAGACAGAGCAAAGGGGAGAGGCCGTAAGACTCGCCCATACCGTTAAACCCAGATCAATGTTTGATTAATAGAGATTTGCATTTGGATGATGGAAGGTTGGCTTAACGTTATGAGTATTCCAGTAGGAGGAGGGAAGAACTGAGAGAGAGAGAGCGAGTTGGGAGGATATAAAAGGATCAGATCAGGCAACAGGTGCCCATTACAGGTGATGTACGGCTCCACCCTCCTTCCAAGCTCTTGTTCAGCAGTCACACTCGTTTCCACTTTTTCTGTTGTGATACGATAATAGTTGTCTCACTAAACTGGAACTGCCCTGAGGTAACTGAACATCCATATGTCTTTATTATCATTCAAACTGCTGTGTTTGCAGTTATTTGTGCTAATTTTACAGTATTTTTTTTCTTTTTACGCTTTCAGTTTCATTGCTTGAGTTGTGAAGTATCTTTCAGAAAAACTTGAAGTGATCAAACTGCATTCTAACAGCATTCTGTGCAGTCATGTAGAGCCACATTAAGGTGTTTGTACTCGTGTGCTGTTTTTACTCAACTGACATGCTTTTTTTGTTTTCAGATGTTGGCAACTCTTGAAAATGTGAGTATTATTTGTTCTTATTTTTTGTTTAAGTGAAGAGGAAAGCATTGGGAAAAATGTATGACAGATGATTTTTATAACTACAAAAAAATGGCTCTGTGATATATTTAAGCATCACACGAGTAAAATATCATTTATCATACTCTTGGCCAGTCATATGAAAAGATTCTCAATGAACTGTTGTATAACTGTTTGTAATAAGTATGCTGGAAATTATATGACCTTAATAAGCAGATGGGTAGTCATTATGGCCATATAATACCATATTTGATCAACAAATATGCATGCAGATTTCATTGTAAAGTTCTGGTGTTAATGCAAAGTGGTGCAAAGAAAAAAAGTGACTCTAAAAACAGTGACTCTTATGCCACAATCTTTGAAGAACATTGTTTTGTGTGGAAAGTATGCTGGTAAAATAAATGGCACTTGATAATGCTTAGACATTTTGTTGTTTAATGCAAAGACATTCAGGCATTAGGTGTTGAAGTGTGGCTTTAAAATACTGTCAAAATGTCAAAACAAAGTGCATATGTGGAATACACAGAACTGTCAAAACAGAGGTAAAATATTACCGCTAAAATGTTTACACACACTCACAATGCAAATATGTCTGTTGGTGCATGTAAAAACCAAATTTTACTGAGGAGAGGCAGAATGTACTAGTCAGGCAAATTGTTGCAACTTCTTTCCAATATTCCTGTTAAACAGCTGTATGGTTATTCATGGGCAGTTATATATATTTTTTTCAATAATATATAATATTCAGATTTCAATGAATGCTCTCCTCTGAATCTAGGAGAAGGAAAGAAAATGAGTGTGTCTTGTACATTGTCTAGTGTCTGTACTGCATCTGATTCAGTGTTTGATAACGTGCATTGACTTACCTACAGATTCAATACTTCCAAGATCTGGGCCCTAGAGAGCCGTCGTCAGGGAACCTGGACCTCGACATGATTGAGGAGTACCTGCAGGAGCACTCGGTCGAGGTGATGTGTGCACCAGGTGTGCAGAGGCAAAATCAAGAGGAGCACGGTATTGCAGGTGAGGGTTCAAAAATTAACTAAACACCGTAATAGACCACTGAGGGAAGGGTCACTTCTCATTTTTGAACTGAATGGAAGCGCACTTTTCAGTTTTGTAAGGTCAGTAATTTCCTCTTTGACAAAGCTTTTTTATTTGTATCTCAAGACGTGGATACCATGTCATGGGTGACAAAAGTTTAGTTTAGTGAGGAGAAACCAAAAACACTGGAAATTTACTGGCTTACTTGGGAAGTGTGTAATTTTTGAGCTGCAAAAATTAGTTTTGAACACAGTCACACAGTGTTTATACAGGTTTCCCTTCCCCACAACTGCCATTGGTAAGTCAAACAGATAGTCCCGCCCCCAAAGTCACACCATTGGTTGAGCTGTTGCCATGTCAGGCTGGTCGGATGCTCAAACAATCAGCAATGTTTTGAAAATGCTACAGAGAAACAGTATTTACACTTTTCAGGGTAATCAAACTATACATGGTATACATTTAGTTGTTGCTGCCATTTAATCTGGAAAGGAGGAAGTATTTTAACACCAAAAACATTGATAATATAACCATAGATATCTTCTTAGAGCCTGTACGTGTTGTTGATTGTAGCGAACAGCATATGCGATAATAATGAGTGATGTGTTTCCATAGAGAACAGCTGGTCTGGACATTATGCATATGAATGGCATTATGGTGGAGTGCCAGGAACAGATGAGACGCATGAACCACAGCCTCAGCAGCAGCAGCAGCAGCAGCAGACGTGGCTCTGTCAGTCCAGTCACAATGAGTGGGTAGGTCTCACCAGACATACAGTAAACAATGTTAGAATTTTGTAAGTGATGGTTGACCTGTTCATGGTTGTTATTAATAATAGTTTATGTTTTAGGGACACTTCCAGTATGACAGAAACCGGTACAGTGACTCAGATTCGCTGTCCACCAGTTCTGGTTGCCAAGAATTTCCACCATCTCCGACCTCCGACATGAAGGGTCAAATTTCATATGACTCCCTGGCTCTAGCGCCGCTCTCAGGTAAGACACAGAATTGCTAGGCCATTGCTTGTCCTATTTCTTTTTGGTTTTGGGAAAGTCGATTCATATTAGTGAATCAGAATATTTGGATAATTAGATTAAAAAAAGGGGGGAAATAAAGGGATTTTTTTTTCACCTGTACATAATATATTCTGTAATAATGTAGTCAGCCTCATGTAATTTCAAACCTTTGTGATTTTCTATCTTTTGTGGAACACAAAGAGGACATTTTGAAGAATGTTTTTGTTAATTCATTGAAAGTCAATGGGGTCCAAAACAACACTGGTTCAGTTAAAGTGGACAAAAAAATATAGAGAGACTAGTGGCCAGTTGCATAAACTGCTTAGACTAGTCTTTAAACTACTCTGACCAACTAGAACTTAGCCAAGGGGGTAATCACTATTACTTTTCAGATTTAATTGCACCAATCTACATTTAATGCTAGTCCAAAAAAAATGACTAACTTGGATGGCTAACTTGTAAGACTAGTCTAAGCAGTTTATGCAACTAGCCACAGAAAATCATTGAGACAGACTTTAGTGGGTAGGGTTATTTAGTGTAAAATGTTATATTGTTTATGTTTCCAACATGTTCAGTTTGCAGTTTTATTCCCAAACAGCTTCCCTTACAGTCAAGTGATTCACATAGACTTTGGTTCCATCGATTAAAAAATATCCAGAATTTGTTTGAATTTGGATGTCACTATACAGACTAGTTTTTAATCTGACATTTGAAAGGGCGCAATGGGCTTTGACAAAAGACTGCCATATTTATGCACAGGGATCGATAGACGGATGTCAGATGCATAATGTAAATGTTATGTTCTGCTATCACTAAAATACATTTGACATTTACAATGTCATTTCTCAGGTAAAAGGAAAGAGCGGCTGTTTCAGTTCTTATATGAGATGCTACAGACACCAGACATGCGGAGCTGCATTTGGTGGGTTCAGTCTAACAACGGAACGTTTCAGTTTTCGTCCCAGAACAAGGAAAAGCTGGCTGAGATGTGGGGCAGACGCAAGGGTAACCGGAAAACCATGACGTACCAGAAAATGGCCCGCGCCCTACGAAACTATTCGCGAACAGGAGAGATCTGCAAAGTGAAGCGTAAACTCACCTATCAGTTCACTGAGGGAACACTGAGAGGCCTTCAGAACAAATGAAATTTGCAAAGATTCATGGGTAGTTAATGTGGTTCATCCACCAATAATTTCTCCTAACTGGGAAAGTGTAAACAAATACTGAGTATTTTACAGAATTTGTTTTTGCCTTTTAATGTCCCATAATGTGGGCATAAAAACACTGATTTTCTAACATTATTTGGCTTAATTGAGGCTCAATTGAACTTGGGAATTGTATGTACAATAACATGAAATTCTAAGAAGTTGAAGGTGATCTTTGAATTATTTTAAATCTGAGGATTGTTAACCATTACACTACGTTGTATGTAGTTATGAATCAGTTTTTGTTGTTTTGTTGTTGTTTTGATAAAATATTTGCAATTTTTGTGCTCATTTCAATGACTTTTTAATAACATTAAAATGTTGACCTCTGATGTGCCGGAATAAATACATTTTAACATGTAAAGTTGTATGTTTGACAATAACAAGGAACCCAGCCAAACTGTTTAATCTATAAAATTACATTGTAAAAATGTTTAGTCAGTTTTTATTCAAGTCAAAACTATTACTTAATATGACTGAATCAACCAGGCTACATATTTAATTTAGTTGTGAAACTCAACTCTAGATGGTGCAAGCTGATAGGTCCTTTACATGCAATCTGATAGCAATCACATAATTTACTGCATGGCACAAGCTGATTGGCCTCTGCTGATTCTGCAGCCAATGAGATTAATTGTAAAAATGTTTAGTCAGTTTTTATTCAAGTCAAAACTATTACTTAATATGACTGAATCAACCAGACTACATATTTAATTTAGTTGTGAAACTCAACTCTAGATGGTGCAAGCTGATAGGTCCTTTACATGCAATCTGATAGCAATCACATCATTTACTGCATGGCACAAGCTGATTGGCCTCTGCTGATTCTGCAGCCAATGAGATTGCTTGCTCAACATTTAAATAGTTCAGTGTTTGCTGTAAGTTGGTCCTGCAGTGCTTTAGAGTTACCGTGAAACCCTCCACCTTCCCCAGCACCACCTGTCTAGATCTGCTACTGGATTCATGTATGCCTATTCATGCAGCAACAACATGTCTTACATGCTCACAGTCTGTGTATCTATTGACAGTAGATAGTCGTACTTGTTCTGCTGCATCATCAGCAGCAGCAGCAGCATGAGTAGCAGATCTAGTCTGCTAACAACTTTTAAGACAGATTAGGTAGTACAACTGCATTTTAAAAATGTACAGTGAATTACATGCAAACTTATCTTACATGCTCACAGTCTGTGTATCTATTGACAGTAGATAGTCGTACTTGTTCTGCTGCATCATCAGCAGCAGCAGCAGCATGAGTAGCAGATCTAGTCTGCTAACAACTTTTAAGAATCAGAGTCAACCACTTTCAGACAGATTAGGTAGTACAACTGCATTTTAAAAATGTACAGTGAATTACATGCAAACTTTTTTGGGGAAAAAAGAGATTTACTGAAATTGAAAGCTTTTAATTCTTTAGACACTGAAAACTACAAGCTAGAATATATATATATATTGAGTGATTACCATTATGGTCTTTAAATGGTTCTACAAAGTATTTTAAGGAATATGATTGTAAAATAATGCTTTATGCCAAACAACATGGCGTTACCATGGTATGTATATGTTAAATGCATGGTACACATTTCAACAGTTTAAATTCCCTGGGATTTGAATTCTGCAATGTTGTTGAACATGCACCCACATGTAAACTAAAGGGTTTGGTTTTGCATCTGTATTTTAAACAGCCTGTTGAATTCTCATACTGATAAGCCTCATCACGAGGAGCTCACGTAGATCACCACATCTCTGAAAAAAGCTCTGTGCTCCATCTGATGGCAGCTTAGCACGAGTCCACCATGTACATATTCACACACATACGGTCACATATGCAAAGCATGTGTACTCTAGAAAACCGCCACTACAACAGAACTGTTAATGATTGAAGAGAAGGGAAAGATGATGTCTGTATCGCACGTCAGTGGCTTGCTGTTAAAACCACACAAACTATTATAAATAGTAACTAGACCTTAAAATATAACATTATACATATTATTTTGTCTGAAACACAAGTTGACAAATTCGAGTTTACAAGATTTTACAGTTGTGTAAAATCAATATCAGATTAGCAATCATGCTGAAGTACTACGACCTTTAGTCAGGATCTAAAGTTAACATTTTGAAATGACCCTGATGAAACTGCATTTTGCATTATTTTTATTGAAAAATATACATACTTTTGATTTTTAGATTGATGTCATTCTTGCATAATCCTTGCAAACAAACTACGTAGGTCATAGTGTCAGTCTGCATAGATATTCTGATAAATTGTCCAGTTAAAAGAAGCCTGTGTTCTGTCAGATGTTTTTTTAGTAGATGATTTATATTTTATTTGAATTGCAAAAAAAACAAACAATATAACTACTGAAAAAGTTTGCCATTGTCCTCTAAATAAACACCAACTAGGCCTACTGCATTATGTACAACTCTGCAGAGCTCTGACATGTAGAGCAGGGGTCGGCAAGTAAGTTTGGCATCAGCCCAATAAAAATGTTCGCCACTAGATATTGCGGGCCAGAACAATAGTCAAAGGATAATTTAAGAAATTGATTGATGAAAAATGCAACTAGAATTGCCTGTGAGAGACTGTTACAGAGCTGGTACTCTGTGTTAAATCCTGTAGGAGGACAGTCATTAACAAAAAGCCACATTTGTGTGGTAGTGTGAGCTGAGCGGAGCGTCAACAATTTCCCCTCCGCGCTCCGAGCATTTAATAATCACTCTGGGTTCACCATTTCCCGCTCCACTCCTTGCAGAAACACCGCTCTGCGGCTAAAGTATTTCAGTATGTTTGAAATATCACAGTTCTGTTCATAACGTATATTAAAAAATAAAATAAATAAAATAACAGCAGAGTTTCAAAGTGGCTTATTAGAACATCAGTGTTCAAACTTTTTTCCTACCACATGACAAGCTAATAACATGGTTTTCAGCATTAAAAGGTATAGCCTTGCTGCTTTTTGCGGTGCAAATTTTGTTTGTGATGAAAATAACAGTACGTTTTCGTCAGTTGTTTTACCTACGGATCGATGCATTTCTTACAGATTTCTGCTCATTCGAAATCGGATACAGATTAAGTAGTAGCACTGTATTACATTTGTTTGAATGTATTATTGAGAGAGCGATTGCAAGTGAATAAGTGTTGTAGTACTTGTTTAAATCATGCTTTCAGCTGAAAATATTGAGTATCTAGAAGGAACAAACAAATTCCTTGAGAATTATAACTTCCCGCTCATTACCGTCCATTGCAGTCATCATAGCTTCACATTCTTTCTGATTTGAGTGATCCTTCTCTATCAAGCTTGCTAAATATGTTTAACGTGAATTCTTGCTAAATATGCAGTTATATTACGGGCTGTTGGCATGAATTGTACTCGTGATGGAGCGGTGGTGGAGCGCTCTTGGAGCGAGTGAAAACCACGCTCCAACACTTAAAAAACCCGCTCCTCGCTCCAGTCAAAATCACACCGCTCCACTCCGCGCTCCGCTCACATACTCTGTGAGTAACTGTTGCTGTCATGACAGATCTATTTCAGAAGCAGCCGCTATCAAAATAATCTGGCTGCGGGACAGTTTTGGCCCGCGGGTCGCCTGTTGCCTACCACTGATGTAGAGCATAAATACATCAGAGGAATGAATCATAAATAATAATAATTTTGTTCATCTTGATAGGACTTTTCAGTTTTTATGTTTAATGCATGTTTATACATTTTCAAAATCATAATTTATCATTTTGGAAATTATCAATGTTGAACATTAACAGAATATAAAACGTATTTTCATCAAAAGACAAAATCTTTGACTAACAAAATCTATGTAAAGATGAACAAAGCTTTCATGGATTCATGACATGGCTTTTTATCGCTCTCCTTTTCCTGATAAATACACAAACACAGCACTGCCCCCTGTTGTCCATAGGTAGACAAACCATTAATTTAAGGCCGCTTTCACACTTGGTTCGAATGCCTGGTCCGAACCCGAATTCGATTGCAATTTGTCTATTTCTGTTTGTTACGACTGTAATGCAAAAGTTCAAAAGAACGTGGGAGTCATAATGAGATATAAAATCTTTCTGCTGCAGTGTGTCAGCCATGCTTTTCAGGTAAGCCAGTGAGTAAACACATAAATACACAGTTTGAACAATTCATACATTATTAATAGCGGTTCACTATTAATAGCGGTACCGGGGTTCGCATGAACCGCAGACCCTTTCTAGGCGAACTCAGGTTCCGGATTCAGAAAACAGAGTCATGAGTTCAGAAAACAGCGTTCACATTATCCAAACGAACCGAACTCTGATGTCAAACGAACCCGAGTGTGCACCAAAAGTACTAGTGTGAAAGCCCAACACTGACCAGTGATGTACGTGTGAACACATGTACATCACGGAGACGTCTATTTGACGTCTGCATTTACATCTGCAAGACATATTTTTTAGAGTGTTTGCTCATCTGCAATACGTCTATAGGACGTTTCCTATCAGATGTCAAATAGACGTTTAGAAAATATCTTTAAGATGTTTATGATTTAGAATGTATGTAAAACTGATGTCTGAAAGATGTTTGTACACGGCAGATGCTTTCCAGATGAAGCGATCCTTAACAGACATCTTGCAGACTACGTGTGCTATCTGGAGGTGGCTTTTTCCACTTTTCTTGCCAAATAGCTGCAAATAAAAAATCACTCAGGCTGAGAAGGTACTTTGTGGTGAGTTCATCAGCAGCTTTTGACATTGATTCTCCAGTGAGTTTATAATAACATAAATAACAGTAATAAATAAATTTGTATTATGTCAACAACAGTTCTCTTTTAATAAAGCCCATTTTCTGGCAGTACATTCTTGGAGAATTATATGATGGAGGTTTGGATTTGTGCATGAAGTGATGACTGGAATGATATGACCTCTGTGCACATGTTAATTCTTAATTCTTTGTTTTGTTGCTTTG